TAGCAACAACTGTCTGCAGGGGACAGAGAACACATTTAGCAACACTGTCTGCAGGGGACAGAGACACAGTTAGCAACACTGTCTGCAGAGGACAGAGACACAGTTAGCAACACTGTCTGCAGGGGACAGAGACACAGTTAGCAACACCTGTCCTGCAGGAGGACGAGACACAGTTAGCAACACTGTCTGCAGGGAAGAGACAGACAGGAGACAACAGTTAGCAACACTGTCTGCAGGGGACAGAGACACAGTTAGCAACACTGTCTGCAGGGGACAGAGACACAGTTTAGCAACACTGGTCTGCAGGGGACAGAGACAACAGTTAGCAACACTGTCTGCAGGGGACAGAGACACAGTTAGCAACACTGTCTGCAGGGACAGAGACACAGTTAGCAACACTGTCTGCAGGGGACAGAGACACAGTTAGCAACACTGTCTGCAGGGGACAGAGACACAGTTAGCAACACACTGTCTGCAGGGGACAGAGACACAGTTAGCAACACTGTCTGCAGGGGACAGAGACCAGTTAGCAACACTGTCTGCAGAGGGACAGAGACACAGTTAGCAACACTGTCTGCAGGGGACAGAGACACAGTTAGCAACACTGTCTGCAGGGGACAGAGACACAGTTAGCAACACTGTCTGCAGGGGACAGAGACACAGTTAGCAACACTGTCTGCAGGGGACAGAGACACAGTTAGCAACACTGTCTGCAGGGGACAGAGACACAGTTAGCAACACTGTCTGCAGAGGACAGAGACACAGTTAGCAACACTGTCTGCAGGGGACAGAGACACAGTTAGCAACACTGTCTGCAGGGGACAGAGACACAGTTAGCAACACTGTCTGCAGGGGACAGAGACACAGTTAGCAACACTGTCTGCAGGGGACAGAGACACAGTTAGCAACACTGTCTGCAGGGGACAGAGACACAGTTAGCAACACTGTCTGCAGAGGGACAGAGACCACAGTTAGCAACACTGTCTGCAGGGGACAGAGACACAGTTAGCTTAGCAACACTGTCTGCAGGGACAGAGACACAGTGTTAGCAACACTGTCTGCAGGGGACAGAGACACAGTTAGCAACACTGTCTGCAGGGGACAGAGACACAGTTAGCAACACTGTCTGCAGAGGACAGAGACACAGTAGCAACACTGTCTGCAGAGGACAGAGACACAGTTAGCAACACTGTCTGCAGGGGACAGAGACACAGTTAGCAACACTGTCTGCAGAGGACAGAGACACAGTTAGCAACACTGTCTGCAGAGGACAGAGACACAGTTAGCAACACTGTCTGCAGGGACAGAGACACAGTTAGCAAACACTGTCTGCAGGGGACAGGACACAGTTAGCAACACTGTCTGCAGGGGACAGAGACACAGTTAGCAACACTGTCTGCAGGGGACAGAGACACAGTTAGCAACACTGTCTGCAGGGACAGAGACCACATTAGCAACACTGTTGCAGAGGACAGAGACACAGTTAGCAACACTGTCTGCAGGGGACAGAGACACAGTTAGCAAACACTGTCTGCAGAGGACAGAGACAAAGTTAGCAACACTGTCTGCAGGGACAGAGACACAGTTAGCACCACTGTCTGCAGGGGACAGAGACCACAGTTAGCAAACACGTCTGCAGGGGACAGAGACACAGTTAGCAACACTGTCTGCAGGGGACAGAGGACACAGTTAGCAACACTGTCTGCAGGGGAGACAGAGACACAGTTAGTTCAACACTGTCTGCATGGGGACAGAGACACAGTTAGCAACACTGTCTGCAGGGGACAGAGACACAGTTAGCAAACACTGTCCTGCAGGGGACAGAGACACAGTTAGCAACACTGTCTGCAGGGGGACAGAGACACAGTTAGCAACACTGTCTGCAGGGGACAGAGACACAGTTAGCAACACTGTCTGCAGGGGACAGAGACACAGTTAGCAACACTGTCTGCAGGGGACAGAGACACAGTTAGCAACACTGTCTGCAGGGGGACAGAGACACAGTAGCAACACTGTCTGCAGAGGACAGAGACACAGTTAGCAACACTGTCTGCAGGGGACAGAGACACAGTTAGCAACACTGTCTGCAGAGGACAGAGACACAGTTAGCAACACTGTCCTGCAGGGGACAGAGACACAGTTAGCAACACTGTCTGCAGGGGACAGAGACACAGTTAGCAACACTGTCTGCAGGGGACAGAGACACAGTTAGCAACACTGTCTGCGAGGACAGAGACACAGTTAGCAACACTGTCTGCAGGGACAGAGACACAGTTAGTAACACTGTCTGCAGGGGACAGAGACACAGTTAGCAACACTGTCTGCAGGGGACAGAGACCAGTTAGCAACACGTGTCTGCAGGGACAGAGACACAGTTAGCACACTGTCTGCAGGGGACAGAGACACAGTTAGCAACATGTCTGCAGGGGACAGAGACACAGTTAGCAACACTGTCTGCAGGGACAGAGACACAGTTAGCAACACTGTCTGCAGGGGACAGAGACACAGTTAGCAACACTGTCTGCAGGGGACAGAGACACAGTTAGCAACACTGTCTGCAGGGTGCCAGAGGACACAGTTTAGCAACACTGTCTGCAGGGGACAGAGACACAGTTAGCAACACTGTCTGCCAGGGGACAGAGACACAGTTAGCAACACTGTCTGCAGGGGACAGAGACACAGTTAGCAACACTGTCTGCAGAGGACAGAGACACAGTTAGCAACACTGTCTGCAGAGGGACAGAGACACAGTTAGCAACACTGTCTGCAGAGGGACAGAGACACAGTTAGCAACACTGTCTGCAGGGGACAGAGACACAGTTAGCAACACTGTTCTGCAGGGACAGAGACACAGTTAGCAACACTGTCTGCAGGGGACAGAGACACAGTTAGCAACACTGTCTGCAGTGGACAGAGACACAGTTAGCAACACTGTCTGCAGGGGACAGAGACACAGTTAGCAACACTGTCTGCAGGGGACAGAGACACAGTTAGCAACACTGTCTGCAGGGGACAGAGACACAGTTAGCAACACTGTCTGCAGGGGACAGAGACACAGTTAGCAACACTGTCTGCAGGGGACAAGAGACACAGTTAGCAACACTGTCTGCAGGGGACAGAGACACAGTTAGCAACACTGTCTGCAGGGGACAGAGACACAGTTAGCAACACTGTCTGCAGGGGACAGAGACAGTGTTCCACTACACCCACCCTGATGGTTGCACGCATTTTACAGCCTTACCAGGCTCTGGGAATATGTTACCTATTGTATTACATCCCAGCCATGCTTTCAGAGGAGACTGGTGCTGTCCAAATTCAGGAGGAGGAGCAACCAAAAATAATTATAATTTTGTATTAATCTGCCACACGTTTGGCCTTTAAAGCAATTACAAAGTCCATCCCAAGTTCAAAGTCTAACATAATTTCTTCAAAAATATATATATATGTTAGTATTTTTGTGTAGTACAGTCATGGACCAAAACCTACTTCTCTTCAAATTAAGAACTCTTTCCTTATTCCAAAACTAAGGTCTAATTCCTGAAACCGACCCATAGACATTGAATTGGGAAACATGAGAAAGAGGACACAAGAGTATATTACATTTATATTGTTATTATCATCAGAACAATATGGCTTTGTTGATGGTATCAATCAGTTATGTTCAACGTATGCCTTTCCTCAAATTGCATAATATGCTTCACATGGTTGTTTAATCTTCTAACTTGTGTACCACCTTGTACACTGTACTTTGATATGGTCATGCCAATTGAGCTTCTCTGAATTTGAGTAGCTCAGTCACAGATATTGATTGCAACTTTCCAGGCAATGAAAATAACAATTTAGAAGTCCTCATTTAGGTGGCAATCCTCTTTAATAACCAACATATATATTATGCACTTGGAGAACTATAACAAAGTACATCAGTATTTCCTTCCATGTTGAGTGTAGGTGGAAATCTCTTGTGCTCCACTACAACCATGACTGTAACACAACCAGAGGCAGAATGACAACAGTCGCACGTGGAGCAACATTCTGTGATGTAACTGGGACGACCTCTTACCGAGAACCCCACAAGCGTTGCTGTCCAGCGTCCCGCCGTGCCCCATCTTCAGGCTCTGCTTCTTCCTCTTCCGCGGGTTTTCGACACCAGCCTCTGGAAGACACATGAAAACAAACCGCTTCACTATCAGTTTCAACAGACATACAGTCCCTGTATACCCAGATTCCCACCTCTGTGGAATTACCCCTGAGTAAAACTTCTTTGAGAGAGTTCAGCACGTCTGCTGAAGTCGGCCCTTGTTTTTTATATATCGCAAACAATCCATTTAAAGCCTGTAGTTTAGTTAAGGAACTATTGCTGCTGATGATGATTCCTGCCATGCTTCGTCTTCTTCTACTTCTTCTTCTACTTCTTCTTCTACTTCTTCTTCTACTTCTTCTTCTACTTCTTCTTCTTCTTCTACTTCTACTTCTTCTTCTACGGTTTATGGTTCAGTTACCAGCTGCGAACCGTTCGCCCTCTGCTGGTGCATCATTATTTCTTGTTTGGGCTCCAAGCCGAAACAGCGTTGTTGTTGTTTTTATCAGAGGTGGAAGAAGTACTCAGATTATTTACTTACAAGTAAAAAAAGTATCAGCATAAAAAATCCATTATGCAAAATGAGGAATTTAAGTAAATAATATTATTTGTTGGTGTATTAATGTTAATGTAATTTATAATAATATATAATAATGTCTGTCGATTTGAATGTTATATTAATCAGATAAATCTGCAAAGTAACTATAACAAAATAGTTACCTCCGTTTTACCTCAGTTCAGTAGGCCCTACTTGAGTAAATGTATGTTGTTACATTACACCACTAGTTTTTATTATATAACATCATATTAAAATATCGCTTATTAAGGTTGATTAAGTTAAACCTAAATTAAATACGTTTAATTTAGAGAAATGGAAAAGGCTCACGTTATCAAAACTACATTGACCAAGATGCTTTGCGCCGATGTACACTTCCTGGTTACTTTGTCGCTTGGCTTCCTTTGCCTGTCAGCTGTGCTGTCTACAACAACAATAACTGCCAGGAAGATACTGGAAGATACTTGTGCTGCAGTCTCTGAGGTTTGTGAGGGTTTTACCTGAAGATGACTTTGTTATTTATTTAGCTAAACTCCCACAGGCTTCCGTAGTTTACAGGACGGTTATCCGTTTGAAAGCGCTGCACGAGTCTGCTTTTACTCGCTCCCGACACTCTCATTCAACATTTGGCAATTCAAGTGTACTTGCTTATCTCCACGATGCAGCTATTGTATAATAAAAAATAATACATTTTCTAAAACTATGGAAGCAATATGTCAGTTCGGCTCGCACATTAGGATGTATTCCATTCAGTGTTGTGCGTTTTTGTTATGTGGACTTCCTTCCGACTACTATCAAAAATAACAGTCAAAGCACTTCTTAAAGTTTGAATTCATATTAAGTTATGATCTTAGGTCAGATATTGCCGAACTGATGAGGTGGGTGTAGGGTGCATTGTAATTGTTACGTTACAGCAGTGGTTCTCAAACTTTTTCTGTCAGGCCCCCCTTTACTGCGGTCAACTCAGCCATCTCTCACATTTGCTTGGTCAAATGAGCAGTTCTTCATTTTCGAGTGCGCGATTTATAGCGCCTTTACGGTAATCGCTGAGAAGCGGCACTAACGCAAGAGTAAAAGAATGCATGTTTTTTCTGCTTCATGCGATACAAATTATTTTTACCATAAGTTCTTAAAAAATCTAACACTGTTTGACTCAGTCCTAGTTTGACTGCTACCAACAATAAAATGAAGTACTTTTACTGTCTTTTTTCTGGGTAATACTCTCAAATTCCCCTCCTGAGAACAAAATCATGCAACTTCTGCTATATTTGATGAGATCAAATGATTTTCAGCCATACATCCTTAATAAAAGTGATACTGTTGGTCGGACTCAGTACTTGTTAGACTACTACCATAAGTAGGCTACAATCAAGTACTTTTACTGTGTACTTTTGAGTAATCCCCTGTCAAACTCCCCTCCCGAGTACAATAATTCATGTATTTGCTATATTTGATGAGGGATAAAATGATTCTTAGCCATAAGTTCTTAATACAATTGGTAGTGTTGGACTCAGTACTACTTGGACTACTCCCACAAGTACAATCAAGTACTTTTACTGTGTACTTTTTGAGTAGTCCCCTGTCAAACTCCCCTCCAGAGTACAATAATGCATGTTTTCTGCCATCTTTGATGATTATTGTACTCTGGAGGGGAGTTTGACAGAGTATTACTCAAATAGTAGCTACACAGTAAAAGTACTTGATTGTTTGATTGATTGATTGAAAAGTTTATTAACAGCTTGTATATTGGGTACAGTACAGTACAGCTCTTGTATTTGTGGTAGTAGTCTAATATGTACTGAGTCCAACAGTACCAATTTTATTAAGAACTTATGGCTAAAAATCATTTTATCCCTCATCAAATATCATTGATTGATTGATCAAATATAGCATAAGCACTTGTACTACAGTCAGCGCCGCTTCTCGGTGATTACCGTAAAGACGCTATTAATCGCGCACTCAAAAAAATGAAGCGCTGCTCATTTGACCAAGCAAATGCGAGAGACGGCTGAGTTTGACCGCAGTCCCCCACTGCAGAAAAAAAAAAGTCGGGCCCCACCAACACAAATAGTCAGGCTCAGTGGCGGCGCCAGAGATTTCTTTTGGGGGTGCTGTGGGGTAGCTTGACGTTTCATAGAGGGTGCTCAAACATTTAGGGTTTCTCATTAATGTACCGGGCGCTACAGTGGAATTTTCTACTGCAACACTCCCCACGCAAATACACAGTGTACCCGCAACTGTTACAATGAAGGGTCGATAATCAGGACATATAGGTATAAGCAGTGCTGGAATTGGGCCGGTACTCACCGGTACGCAGTACCGGCACTTCTGGTTCTGACCCATGGAGTACCGGCACTTCTTGCTCAGTACCGGCATGCTGGCGGTACTCCGGTACTCATGCACCGTGCCAGTACTCAACACTCTCCCGCCGTTCTTATTATACATCCATATATATATATACAGCCGCCCGGTACTCAGTAGATGCGTCATGAGGTGCCGAACGGACATTCTCATCGCTCTAACCGCTGGAGTTTCACAGCGGCTGTCAGCTGTTTACTCCTGTCATTCAAACAGAACGTGCTGGAGAGGGGGCGGGGCTTATCTTCTCCATGTAAATACTGTGGTGGAAACGACTATGTCAAAATTAACCTATTTGACCGTGATTTAATAGTAATACACGTTTCAAAATAATAATAATAATAATGCCGAAGTAACAACATACTGAAAACTGTTAGTAAAACCATGTTTTAATGCTTTACAATTTACATACCTAGATGCACGTGTGTTGTGTTTATGCAGTGCAACTCCCACCCAGTGGGTGGCTATGTAGAGTGATAGAACAGAGCAGGCACGCCCCCGAGAGAAGGAAAGCAAGTCACGTCACAAATTAGCATTTCTAAAATGTTAGCGTGGATTAATAAAAGTGCAAAAAGACAGCGGTTGTCGCCGGAAGAAACTTCAAATACAGAGAATGCTGTGCCTGTGTTGGAAATTGTGTCTGATGGGGAGCTTTCTTTGGTTGATCCTCCTGCTCCAAGTTCTAGTGCATTAGCATTAGCACTAGCTCCGCCGCCTCCTCCAGAGCCTCTAACGTTAGCTGCTGCTGGCGCAACTGCCACCACCAACACCGGGCAAAGCGATGCACCTGACTGCTGGACAACGGACCAGGTGCAATATTTTTGCAAGACCAATGCATGGCTCCTTCTTAAAGATAAGAAGCTAGGATGTCGGATATGCAGAGATGTCAAATCTTTGGGAATACACACTGGACAAGGACTGACACTGTCAACTGAATGGGGTGAGTGTGCAGTGTCTCATTTCGGTGTTGACAAGGGCAAACAACAAGCTAGCCTGATAAAAAAAAATCAAAGAACATAAAGAATCACAAGCCCATGTAAAAGCTGCTGCCATCCTTACATCTGCTTCACGTGAAACTATTCAACATCAAGTGCAGTCTATGCATAAATCTAAATTAGACACCACTATCAGAGTTTTTCGAACGGCATATACAATTGGCAAACATAGCCGGCCATTCACAGACATGCCAATTGATTTGAATGTACAGAAAATGAATGGGCTGAACGTGGGCAGGGTTTTGCACTCCAATAAAACCTGTGGCGAAATCATCGACCACATAGCTCATGAGCTGAAGAAAAAAATGGCAAAAGACATTACAGAAAACCAAAGAAAACTCTGTGTTTTGGTCGATGAATCTACCACTATTAGTGGTAAAAACGGTGCTTGTTGTGTGTCTACGCTCAGCATTAGCTGATGCTGAGCCCGAAACGTTTTTTTGGGAGCTGATCGAGTTGGATGGAACAACGGCTGATGACATCACAAAGGCGTTAATGGAGTGTCTTGGAAGAGATTTTAACGAGGACTTTTTAGGTCAGTGTTTCGTTTCTTTTGCATGTGATGGGGCTTCAGTCATGCTAGGGAAGAGAACAGGCGTTGCTACCCAGTTGTGTAGTAAATTCCCACGCCTGTTTGTGTGGCACTGCTCCAATCATCGTCTAGAGCTGGCAGTTGGGGTGTGGTCAAGGAGGTCTCAGGGCTCAATCATTTCCAGATCTTTTTTGACAAACTCTATTCCTTGTTCCATGCCTCCCCCAAAAATCAGAGGCAGTTAGCGCAGTGTGCGCAAGCAGTCGGACAGCGTCTCCTGGTGATAGGGCGTGTTTTGTCCATCCGCTGGGTGGCTTCAAGTGAAAGGAGCGTCAGAGCAGTCTGGGAAAACTACCGAGTGCTTCATGATCACTTCACAAATGCTGCAAACGACACGAGCAGGGATTCCAGAGATAGAGCAAAGTACAAGGGCCTGGATGATGTGCTCACATCTGCAACGTTTGTCAGCAATCTGGGACTGATGTACGATGCGCTCACAGAGCTCAGCGACCTCTCTCGGCAACTCCAAAAAAGAGAGATGACACTGCCTACAGCAGATAGGCTCTTAACTCGAGAAATACGAGTTTTTGAATCCATGGTCACCATGCCTGGCCCACACATGACTACAGTTCATACAGCTCTAGCTGAGAAGTCCTTCAAGGGTGTTGCCCTGCGTGAGAATGGCAGGCTTGTACAGATTCATGCAGGTCAGTTTTTCCGCAGTATGGTAGAGCATCTGAGACACAGAATGACTTCCACAACCTCCTCTCATGTCAGCACAAGAGAAATCCCATTACATGGCCGGGAGGCCCGGGACAATCAGCTAATCCAGGACATGAAAGTTATCCATCCTGGAAGTTGGCCTGAAGAGGAGTTAGACGTACAGTATGGGGACGTAGAGGTGCTACGTTTGTGCGAAGTGCTGAAAGTGGACAGAAGAGAGACTGTTCAGGGCTTTCGCGAATACAAGGAAACCAGGGCATCCCGTACACCTGCTGCCATGGAGCCTCTACTGAAAGCAGTCCGAACCATCGCTGTCTCCACTAGTGAGTGTGAGCGGGCATTCAGCTGCATGAACGATATCCTTACTGCAAAAAGGAATGCTCTCTCTGTCAGCCGACTGTCCAGCCTGGTTTTCATTAAATGTAATGGACCATCACTAGGACAGTTCAATCCGGAACAGTATGTGAGGTCCTGGCTGGCAAAAGGAAGGAGAAGTGCTGATGAAAGAGCCTGTCCAGCTCCAGCCCCTGATACTGATGTCCCCAAGGCCTTCTGGAGCCTTTTCTAACAATGTGAAGTATATTGCAAAGCAGCTTACCCAGTGAGAAGACTTTTGGCATAATGTGCCGATTTGTACAGATCCTGGAGATAGAAGGACTTCAGACCAACCAGGGAGTTATCTGATCAGCTTGGTGTTCAATGTAACTCTTTACCATGGCTCAGACTTTGTTACTTGCAGTTACAGTTTCTCATTTTAGATTGTGCAAATTTTGCATTTGTTTTTACATGTTCTTTGTTCATGCTCTTTATCATTTTTCTGAGTTGGAAAGTTAGATTGCATCATAGTTTACTTTATACATATTTGTATTCTTCAGTGGTGAAGTATATTGCAAAGCAGCTCAGCCATGTGAGAAGACTTTTGGCACTTTTTCGTTTTTCGTTTTCTGAGTTGGAAAGTTAGATTACATTCAAAATGTACAGAAATACTTAATTTTGTTAAAGCTTTTTATAAAAAATGCTTCTGACCAGAGCTTTGTTTCCTTGTCATTAATGTTGAACACCACCAGAGGGGCTCTCACCTGAAAGATCTCTGCTTCATGTGTCTTCAGCAGAAGATCTAGACTTTGATTGCTATATTTTCAGTTAATATTGACCTTACTGAGCTTTAGCCATATCCGCTGCCTATCATAAAAAATGTTAAGTACAGTGAACCTTTCTAAAATATACAGTAGTAAAGAGACAAACCCACCAGCATTATAGTAGCCAAATTCTTGTTTGTGGGCTGTATATATAAAATTGACTTGAAAAAGTTGCTGATTTTAGAGTACTGGCACCTTTTTCATTCCAATTCAAGCACTGGGTATAAGCAGGGGTCAAGTGCTATTTTTATAGGTGGTGTGGACCTCACATAGGGGGGTCCGGGGGCAAGCTCCCCCGGGAAGATTTATTTTTAAATATTGAAGTTAAATGCATCAATCTGGTGCACTTTGAGAGCAAAATGAAGAGATCTATGGATACATCTCTCAACACCCATTTGAAACAGAACTGTAAACAGATTTACTTTTTCTTTATCTGAATATCTCTAAGCTTGTGGTGACTGATTTTGCACTCTCTGACCATTCCTGTGTTTTCTTTGAGAGCTCTATTTCTGTTCACAAGAATGTTCAAAAAGAGATAACCACAAAGCGATATTTAACTGAAAACACTAGGGAAATGTTTACTCAGAATTTCTCTTCCACACTTGCCCCTGCCAACATCTCAGTAAATGAGCTAGTAGATCATTTTAATTCAAAAATTAAAAATGTTATAGATGCCATTGCTCCAACTAAGGTAAAGGAAGTGACTGGGAAGAAAATATCTCCATGGAGAAAGGCCATGACCGTGAAAACAGAAAAAAGAGAATGTCGAAAAGCTGAACGCAGGTGGCGAAAAACAAATCTCCAGGTTCACTTTGAAATCTATAAAGAGAGACTTGGCCTTTATAATTTGGAATTGAAAAAACGCACGACAATCGTTCTTCTCTGACATCATTACCAAAAACAAAAACAACGCACGTGCCTTGTTTGCTACCGTCGACAGACTAACTAACCCCCCAGTGTCAGTAGCCTCTGAATTTCTATCCACCAGGGCGTGCAATGATTTTGCCTCCTTTTTCACTGACAAAATTCAGAAAATCAGACAAGCAGTCAGTGCCTCTGCATCAGGAACAGCAAATGTGTTGTCCCTATCTCCACTTAACATCAATTCAGACATCATGACACAATTCCATCAGATTAATGATAAAAACCTAGAGGACATTATTCAACTTCTGAAATCCTCCTCTTGCTGCCTTGATATTATTCCAACAGGATTTTTCAAAGATGTTTTGCCTTGCATGGCCTCAGATCTACTTCATATAGTAAACAAATCTCTTCACTCAGGTATTTTTCCACAGGCCCTGAAAACTGCAGTCATTAAACCGCTCTTAAAAAAGAATAATCTAGATGCTTCAGTAATGAACAATTACAGGCCCATATCAAACCTCCCATTTCTAGGTAAAATCATTGAAAAAGTTGTTTTTCAACAGTTGAGTAATTTCTTGCATTTAAATAACTGTTTTGATGTGTTCCAGTCAGGCTTTCGTCCAAACCACAGCACTGAGACTGCTCTTGTAAAGGTCTTTAATGACATCCACTTAAACACAGACAGTGGCAGAACTTCAGTGTTAGTATTATTAGATCTCAGTGCTGCGTTTGACACTGTTGACCACAGCATATTACTAGACCGACTGGAGAACTGGGTGGGACTTTCGGAAACAGTTCTGAATTGGTTTGAATCCTACTTAAAGGACAGAAACAACTTTGTTTCTATAGGTAAATACACATCTGAGTTGACAAATATGACATGTGGGGTTCCTCAAGGCTCCATCTTGGGGCCTCTTCTCTTTAACATCTACATGCTACCACTGGCTCAGATAATGAAGAACAACAAAATAAGTTACCATAGCTATGCAGATGACACACAAATTTATGTAACAATTTCACCAGGAGACTATGCTCCAATTCAAACACTGAGTAAGTGCATTGAACAAATCAATGACTGGATGTGTCAGAACTTTCTCCAATTAAACAAAGATAAAACTGAGGTAATGGTTTTTGGAGCCAAGGCAGAACGTATAAAAGTTAGCGCTGAGCTTCAGTGTGCAATGTTCAAAACAACAGATAAAGCCAGAAATCTAGGTGTAGTCATGGACTCTGACCTGAGCTTCAACAGTCACATTAAAACAGTTACTAAATCAGCCTACTATCACCTAAAGAATATATCTAGGATTAAAAGACGAATGTCACAGCAGGATTTGGAAAAACTTGTCCATGCTTTTATCTTCAGTAGACTCGACTACTGCAATGGTGTCTTCACAGGTCTCACTAAAAAATCTATTAGGAAGCTGCAGCTAATTCAGAACGCTGCTGCTCGAGTCCTCACTAACACTAAGAAAGTGGATCACATCACTCCAGTTCTGAAGTCTTTACACTGGCGTCCTGTGTGTCAAAGAATAGATTTCAAAATACTGCTGCTGGTTTATAAAGCACTGAATGGTTTAGGCCCAAAATACATTTCTGACCTCCTGCTAAATTATGAACCATCCAGATCTCTCAGGTCTTCAGGGACTGGTCAGCTTTCTGTCCCCAGAGTCAGAACTAAACATGGTAAAGCAGCGTTCAGTTATTATGCTCCAAATATCTGGAACAAACTCCCAGAAACCTGCAGGTCCGCTGCAACTCTGACTACTTTTAAATCCAGGCTGAAGACTTTTCTTTTTGTCGCTGCTTTTAATTGAACTATTCATATCTTAGACTGCACTGTAACTTTTATCCATGTACTTTTTATTATAATGTTTATTTTATTAGCTTTTCTTTTTAATGACTGATTTTAAATGCCATTTTCTTAATCTCTTTCATTTTTTGTAAAGCACTTTGAATTGCCTTGTGTTGAAAAGTGCTATATAAATAAACTTGCCTTGCCTTGCCTTATGGATATTTTACAAATCACCCTTTTAAACTTTATTCTTGTTTTACTGTCATATAGTACATACCTGTTTTTCATTTATCCTCTTATTTTTTTATAACTATAATGATCATATAAATGTGTGCCTCGGAAATAATTGTTTACATTAATGGTGACCAAAACATTTGAGACCCACTGAGATAACACTGAGAGTCCTTTAGCTCACTGAGTCTCTCTGTCTGACAGGAGAGAACTCTCCTCCACTTTGTTGTTGAAAAAACTCCTTATATCCGATTCAGCATCCATGTATTCTTAATCAGAAACGGACCTGTTGGTAGATGAATCCAGCAAAAAGGAAGCACTGAATCTGCCACACACAAGAGTTTTATATCATTTGGCCTCACAAATACAGCTGAGCTCAATGCAATATAATTGCAATATGGTGCAATCTAAAGCATTATTTGGAAAAGGGACAATATGCGAAAAAATATCATTCTGAATGGAAACAAACTTTATTCTACAGACTTAATAGAAACTCCTTATTTGGTACAGACCACACCCTGATCAGTATACACTGTTCATTGATAATGTTGATAGTAATTCAAAAATTGTCATTCCCTATTATTTTGCAAACCATAACGCAATTGCATTGTCAATACAAAATTATGGCAATACGTAAAATGTTCCCAGATCATGCAGCCTTAATTAATTTATCAGTCTTGTTTTGTCTACCCTACAGTCCAAAATCCAATAATATTCACCTTACAATCCCACCAGTCATAGAAAAGCACCAAATCATCACAGTCCAAACGTTGCTAGAGCATGGCTGGCTTTGTGGCTTGAAAATTGACATGTTCTTTAAATTAATCATTTCACTCCTAATTCACTCTTTTCTTTTCCAGAGGAAAGAAGGAAGACGTTAAGAGATTGTTGGACAACTCAGCGGAAAAGGAGCGAGTGGTGATGCACAATGGAGGATTTCAGGCAGACATACCTTCGTCTGTGTAAGGAGAGCGGTGTGGAGCCTCAGGAGAGCGTGGTGGCCCGGCTCCAGGGGGGGGGGGCTCAGGGGTCCAGCCTGGACCTGAGTGGACAGAGCCTGTCTGCAGAGACCTGCTCCGTGCTGGCCAGGGCCTTCCAAAGAGACACCGTCTTCACAGAGGTGCTGCTCAGTGACTGTATGCTCAGCGAGGAAGGTGCGTCAATATTAAGATCCACGAACAGCCTAAATGAGCTTAGTGTATTATATTGTAAGTGGTTCAGTTTTACAGCAGGTGTCAAGCATACATTTAAATGCAAGTATACACATGTTTTGATTCCCCATATAATGCAGTGGTATGCACATTTACTGTAGCTATTTCAAAGAAGAAAAAGACCCAAACCAACGACTTTCTGACTTTCTTACCCTGTCTTTTGCTCTCAGTTCGAAACCCATTGGTTCCATTGAACGTATAAATCCTAAAATAGTTTCCCTAAACAATAGGACACTGTACTTTTAAACAAACTCTACACAAACAGGAAGAAATAGTGCATTTTGTGGGGATTATTTGTATGGGCGGATTAATCCACAACTGGTGTTTATACAGCTATATGTATTATATATGTATATTTATTATATATTATATGTATTTATGGCAGCAGATAGGTGTATAGGTGTGAATCAAAATAAACTAGGGTGTGTTGATTTTAATGGAGAAACATGTCTCATTGGCTCATTAGTGTGTTAGTAATTTTAGAGGAATAATTATTGCCGGTGTATTGACTTTGATGACGTTAGTGTTAACATCATGTATAACAGTGTCTTTTCATGCTTGTGTGACTCTCAGGTGCAAAAGTACTTCTAAGTGGACTGTCAGTCAACACAACTGTAAAAGTCCTGGATCTGAAGGTGACACATGCACAAATGAAATTGTCCATACTGTCAGACCCTTTTTTTCATGAGACAGGTTGGTATTCTGTTGATGCAACATGTGTTTTTACAGGGTAACAACCTGAGATCGACAGGGGCTGAGGTGTTGGGAAAGCTGTTGGCACTTAACAAGACTCTGCGCAGGTGAGAACAAGGATTTTAATGTGAGAATATTTGTTCAGTTGCTGCTTGCAACACCAGACATGTGACCAATCTGGTCATAGCATGTCTTGGGTCATTATACAATTAATTTAAACTAAATAATCTTAACTCAAGTTCCACTTACTAGTTGTTTCCTGTGCTTTCACCTTCATATGGTCTTTATCAGCATATTTTGCTGTGCTGTCATCACATCAGAATGGAACCCCATCCACTAATGAAAGCCTAAAGAGTGGTTAAAAACCTTGAGTTATGATGTATCTGTTAAACTGCTATGTCCAAGGTCGAGAAATAACTTTCCTGAGTCAAAACTACAAAGGTTTTTTAATGTTTCAATTAAAACAATAAATATATCTTAGTTTAAAATTACACTTTTTCTTATATGTTTTTGCATTAACACATACTGTCACAAACTGTATGAATGTGAAGTATTTTGTTAATAGCGCCAAGGAGCACTATTGGAGTGACTTTGATGGTTATTGGACTCAGGATTAATTCATTTGGATTCCCGCTGTATGAAGAAATTAAAGGACGGCGCAAGTGGAAACAATTAACAAAGGGATTAAACTGTTTAAAACACATGCTCAAAGTAAGCCGGATTTTGCCGATGTGTTTATGTGGATTCAAAAGTCGTAAATAATCTACAAAATGGAGGAGACCGATCTGATCGGAGCAACTGTGACGAATAATCCAACTGAAACCGGCATGGACAATGACTATGTTTTAAAAATGCGCTTATCCAGAAAAGCCTGGTTTGGACACTTTACGGGCAGAAAAAACATTTCTATTAAAGAAAAAATTATACATTTCTGTCTTTTTATGCCTATAATAGCTACTAACTTGAATTTGTATTCAAATTAATTAATCAATTATTTTGTATATGTAATTGTAATGTAGAGACAAGGCTTTTAGTGACAATCATGTATTGCCTTACAATTATATGTAAAAAAAAAAAAAAGAAAGTTTAAATATGATATTTGGCCTCCCCCCCTGCGATCTTTGACGCCCCCCTTGTTGGGCACCACTGACCTAGTTTATAATTGTTATAATTATTGGCAGACTTTGCATAGGTTCCTCAGTTTTTTCTTGGTTTAATGATTTGCAATGAATATACTTAAAAATTCCATAAATCATCCTAATGTAGACATTAAGGTGCAGTTATCTTTTCAAAAAGTGCAAAGGGCATTTTTCAGTGGCTGGTCACATTATTCACATTCACAAAGTGTTAGAAAAATATCACTCGTCTCCGGCTTGATCTTCAATATCAGGATACATGTATTTGTTATCCTTGCAAGAATGGAAGTAGTCATCACACACAGAGCTGCGTTGGACAAATAGTTCCCAGAACAGTGTCCTTGACATGCTTATATACAAGAGAGTGTTACAGTCAACAAGATGGAAGAATACTGCAGGTTCAAAGCAGTATTCTGACATTAGTTAAGATTAGCTAAGGCCTGCGTAAGCAATAAACATGACAGTCATATGCCTATCTCTCTAGGGGCTGTGTCATCATGCCAATCTTAAGCCCCGGCCACACAAGGACGATAACGGTCGTATCTGCTACAGTTCTCTATCAGATAGACGGTTCGGCCACACGAGGCCGACATGGAAACGCAGAAAACGATAACGGGTCCCAAGGTTGGTAGATCTGCGAACGAAACGCTCCGGGGAGGGGGGGGGGGGGGCAAACGGCTCCGTGTTTACGCCTATACGATCATTTCCTGATAATGTTGAAGCAATAGCCCCGCCTCTCCTGCTCAGAGATCAGCTGCTGGGCTCTCAGAAGAGGGGGAGGAAAAGAGAGGCTCCGTTTTTCATTATTATATTATTATTATATAGAGTCGTTATTCATTTGTTTTAAAGCTCAATAAATAACAAAAAAGACCTTTGACCGGCACTTTTCTAATTGTGTCCGGAAGATTTAAACTTTAACGGACATGTTGACCGTCGACTGAAACTCTGTCGCATGGTCCCCTCGTCCCTTGGAAGAGGCGGTTTTTTTTTTTGGTGGGTGTTTTTCATCTGCTGGTGGACTACCGGAGAGAATTACAGCAGGAGCAAACGCTTGCCTCAGGGAGGGAGAAAAAGAGCCAGAGCGTCCGTCCACAGCGCAGAGTCCTGCATCGGGTCGGGTACCCGCGGGTACCCGACGGGTGACCCGCAAAAAAGGTGATTCGCGGGTGGTATTTTTTCAAACGCTTTTTTCCGGGTTCGGTTCTGGGTAAAACAAAGATGATGCGGGTCGGGTCGCGGGTATTGCATAATAAATATATTAAAATAATAATAAATTAGTTTAATGTTTAAAATCCTCAGACCTCTCCCCCGCGGGACCGCGCATAATCATAACCTCTGCAGCGCATCAATCTGCTGCTGTGCGCGCCACATTCGAAAATGGCTGAGGTGAAGCTCTCTAGCGGAGAATACAGCATTTTCAATAACACTTCCTCCAGAGCGAAATCCAACGTCTGGGAGGCTTCTGGTGTCATCCTAGATGGAGGAAATAACCAACATCCCACGCTTTTTGAGACAAATATGAAACTGCGTGTGTTAATAATTGCACGTTTTCACTGCTCATAGGCTATGCGGGTTCGGGTCGGGTTGCGGATCTTGTGCCGACGGGTCGGGTCGGGTTGCGGAACTAATTGGCAATATGTGCGGGTAGCGGGGCGGGTTCGGTATTGCACGTCGCGGGTGCGGGGCGGGAGCGGGTCTTGAAAATCAGACCCGTGCAGGACTCTGCCACAGCGTAGAATAAACAGAAAGGCAACCATGGCAAGCATGCGCGGTAAGTCTTCTTCGCTGCTTTTGTGGTAGGACTACAGCGCCACTTATAGGCGTGGTATATGTACTACAGCGTCTCCAGCGCTTTCTAGCGGACTCGTGTGACACGTTTCTGGTGCCTGTTGCGTTTATATCGGTTTATATCAGGTTTATATATGTGACCTGCTCTATCGAAATCAGTCGGAAGTCGCAACGGCTCATTTAAAAATAAACATGGATTGCGTAAAAAATTATTTTTTCGGGGTTCGGGTGTTTTGTTTGATTTTAAATAAACAAAGTCTTGGCTTTCAGAATATGAAACTTTTATTTCCAAAATCAGACGATAAATACATTTTTGAAGCTTGTAAAGGGAAGATGACAGGCACCTCTCACTCGCAATCTGCTCTTCCGCAGCGCCGCCCCCCCTCCCTCCGGCTGACATTATGAATGTACGTGTATAGTAATCATAAATAACACGGCAGGGTCCGTTACAGTTTGTTTTCATCTGATTTCAATTAAACAAAGTCTTGGCTTTCAGAATATTAAACTTGTTTCGGCAAATTCAGATGATAAATACAACTTTGAAGCTTCGGCATAATTACAAGCGGAGAACGGAGTAATTTAACGTCACAGCAGGCACAACAACAGCCGGTGTTTCTCGTGAGGGTTTTCCCCGGGAAACAAAACACAATACACACAAATGCAAAATTACACAAACACACACACGTATACACACACACACACACACACACACACACACACACACACACACACACACACACACACACACACACACACACACACACACACACACACACACACACACACACACACACACACACACACACTCGCGAGCTTCCCCCAGACCAGTAATCCAAACGAAAATATCTTCCCTCCGTAGTATTTTGATAATTTGCTCTGTTAAATAATCAATCAGATCGATGGATTCCAGAGAAGAGAAAACTTTGAAGGCCTTTTTCTCCAAATGATGACTCGGTGACAGTCATTATATAATGTGACATATTTTGCTTAATATTTGGAGTACAAAAACAATCCTGATATCATAAGAACGCTAGGAATCTCCTCTTTCCAGCAGTGTATACAACTCACAATGTGTCTTCAGGTCAATGCGACTGATTTTGATAGAGCAGGTCACATATACAGTCTATGGTGTGGACCAGCGCCATATAGACTATGGCCCATTCCCAAACCGCCCCCTACACCCTACCCCTACACCCTACCCCTCCGTTTGCGCGTTCACGCGGAGGGTCCGCCATATTGAGGGCTGTTCCAAACCAACGAGTGTGGAGCGTTGTGGAGGGGGAGTGGGCTATCAAGCCCTCAAACAGCGAGTCTGCAGCGGTGCTGACTTGAGAACGGTCTCTACATGACCGGAGTCACGCTGTGTGTGTCCGTCGGGAAACAAGCTGTTAAAAAGTAGTTCCAGCAAACATCCACTGATAAACTACGATGTTAACAACCTCATGATGACCTCATATGTTTTAACTTAGGATCGTACCTGTGTTTAGTCTAGAAAAAGGTAAATGTGTGCATTTTATTATAAAGTTGTGTATATTTACAGACCGTTGCAAAAACTAAGAAGCTTATAAACATCAGGTTTAAAACTAAAAGAGCTTTGAAACACAATGAAAGATGTTTGGAGTTTTATTTGAGTTATTCATTTAAACTTTTTTTCTAAGAGATGCTGATTTGAAACCGTTGTTACATACAGTTACGGCATTTCCTGTTTCTGCCGGAGAGAGGGGAGGCCGTCCCAAAGCTTGCTGCTGTATTTACTCCCTCCATCTGACAGGAGGGAGCCTCGTTGAGCTGCGAGTGTGGCTACAGACGGAGTTCACTCCGTCACGGAGGGGTCGAGGGAGTGGTTTGGGATTGGGCCTCTATCTATCTAACTATCTATATGGCACGTGGACGCATGGATGTATAATAAGAACTGGATACAGCGTGGAAGGCGGGGCCTCATTCAAGTTGCTCATTGGCGATGATAAAATGGCCCAACTTTTGAGAGAGCGAAACGTCACAGATTACCCGGCATGCCTGAGAAGTACCCGTATGTGCGCTCATAGTGCATGCGCAACTTTAACCACAATGCTCGTTCACATCAAGCACGTCAATTTGCGTACACGTAAGTTACAGAACCGCGCGTTCATGACAGCATGGTAATGATTTGTTATTATGATGGATTTGATATTAACGAGGCGGCAGTTAGCAGCTAGCTAGTAATTATGCTAATGTGAACATCAATCGTTATGTACTTATATTACCCTGTAACAGGATCTAGTGATATCCAAGCTACAGAGCTTCATTTAGCATGACATAATTATTGCACCAGTGGCGAGCCGTGACTTTTATACCTAGGCCCTCTGACCCCCCGCCCCCTTCCCTGGAGTTATTAAGTCACAGACTATACTTCAGCGGAATATCAAAACAACGGCCCGGGGTGCAAAACGCATCAATGAAAGCGACCCTCTACCACACAAAACAACACCTGTAAATAACCCTATTATTTGTGTTCTTTTAAATTGAAAAGGATATTGCATTGTGTTTGTTACTTTCGTTGCAGTTGTATGTCTTAAGTGTAATTTGGCATGCTTTTATTTTGAAGGCGAGTTAACGCTGTTGACAGGAAGTTGTTGTTGCTATGGAAACAAGAAAAGTTTCACAGCGGGTGGAACTTGTCATAAAGTCCGCGATAATAACACCCACCCATTTAGAGGGAAGATATGATTGGTCAATTGTACTGTCATTTGACATTACTCTCTCGTTCAGTTACTATAGCTGGGCCCTCTGTGAATTCATAGCTGGACCGCCTGGACGTCCAACAGCTCCTCTCTTCACAGACTCGCAGAGACGAGCTTCTTTCATTTAACCCTTCACATTCCAACAGAAACTGAATAGGCAGATTCGAAGGATTTATTTCTTTGGAAATGTTAATTTAAATACAATTAAATCAAGTTATTTTGGTAAAACTAAGGAAAAATATAACTAAAAAAAATATTTAAAAAAATATATATTATTTTTTTTAATGTTTTTAAATATTATTTTGTAGAATATCTTAGGCCCTCACAGAGGGCCTATAGGGCCCTGACGGCTCGCCACTGTATTGCACTGTGTATATATATAATATATATATAATATATATATACAGTGCAATAAGCTTCTAAGTGCAATACGAAGCTACAGGGACGTTAATAACGTCGGTAATATTAACTTTATTTAATACAACATTTATGGTACAAGATTTAATCATACAGCCCATGTAGTATAATAATGAATTACAGCAAACATGTGCAATATATCCATTATTACAGCTCCGTGGGATGGCAGTAAGACGATATGGGTCCGTTCTTATTGTGCATCCATGGGTAAAGATAAACGCAACTCACATTGGTTTCTACGTGTATTCACTGAATTTCACTCTGCCTTTAACGGCTCGTTGTAGCTCCAATAGCTCCAGCCCCCACCCTCCTGTGAGCACAGTGTGCTCTGATTGGTCGGGACCATGCTGAACACGTAACATGAACGTGCCGGGCGGCGCGGTCACGTGGGTTAGTTCATAATGCAGAGGGAAATAACTGTCAGAATAACGTTATTAGCACATTTTTACAACTTGAGGAACGAATGTTTTTAATAAGGGGTATACAAACGTTCATACTGGGTAGTTTATTTAGTTAAAAAAATTATCCAACGATTTACAGACCACTCTTTCCCCATGTAAGTCAATGGGAAAAGTGTTTCCGGGCCTGGCAACCAAACGGAAGTGTAGTACCGCCGTTTGGCCAGCATGAATATTTTCATCTGAGTCCGGCGCACTTCCTGGGGGCTTGTGTGGACGGAATACTTTTTTGATAACGATTGCGGTCCGTTTGCGTTATCGTCCTCGTGTGGCTCCAGCCTTAGGAACATAGCTATCATAACTTAAACACAGTGGGTGTTTCTCAATTGTGAGGATGCTGGTTTGGGCGTCGCGTACTTCCAAGTCACTTCCTTCAGAAACTAAGCAAGTATGCTTCCAAGCCACGGCTTCGGAAAACGAAGAAGACTGGAACAGGCTAACAAGTGTGCCACTCTCTCTAACGGTTTCAACATAAACTGTACCGAAAATAAATACCTCACGATGTCTATCTAATTATGAACTTGCTTTACTTTCACGGAACACATTTTTGGTGATAACAAACAAATGTAACAAAGTAACATATTTACCAACACATGTTCTACGCCACTACATACTTACATTTAAATGTGTGCTGTGTCGGTTCAGCAATTCTCCGCAAGGGTTTTTGAAATTGATCCATGCGCAAAGCATTGTGGGGATTTTAAGGACGCAAACTCTACCCATGTGCAACCTCGAAATGTCCCCCAAACCAAGGACGCGGCCTCGGTGGAATTCCAAGTATGCTGGAGATTGGAACAGTACTTCTGCGGCACTCGATGACGTAGCATCCTTGAAATATTGGCTTGGAAGCCAGAATCCTCGAGATTGAGAAACGGCC